TGAGTACAGTGAATCTCTTTTTTTTTTTTCTTTTTTTTTCTTTATGGATTGTTGGTAAGAAAAATTTAGGCAAATTTCGTTTTAATATTACTTTATGTAGAGCAAGAAATGTTATTAAATGCTTACCAAACAAAATGGTGGCATTGTTCAGATTGTAAGAAATGGAGACTTTGGTTGGCTATCGCAGTTCCTTTAGCTTCTGTCTTGGTTCTTATCCGAATATCCTCACCCTGCTATCTGTGTTGCGAAAGGGTAGGTTGCATTGCTAAATGTAATTGTTGTCATTAAATTTATGTTTTTTTTTCAAGTGTGGTTGACATTAAAATTGGAGAGTGCTTTTTGACTCTTTGTCAAAATGTCGATTTTTCCATGCTAAAAGAAAATAGTTTATAACTCAAGTGGGTAAGATTATTTATTAGAAAATATATATATTAGAGACTAAAAGAATGTGCAAAAGTTATGTTAGAGAAATTAGTATAAAAATAAGCCTAAATGTATTAAGGCAAGAATGTAAGTGGCAAATTAAATACATACGAATTGAATATAACTAGGCACCACCAAAGTATTAGGGGGTTGTCAACAATATAAAACATGTCCAACACTTTATAGAATATAGAATACAATATTAATGTCTTTTTAGAAGTTCTTATTTTTATACAAGCAATATTAGGGGAGAGGGGATTCAAACACAGAATCTCAAGTGCATTTTAATCACTAGGTCTGAACAGAGCAATAAAATAAAGGGCTTGTCCAATATAGATCCCTACATTTTCTATTTCTTAAACATATACCCAACACTCTATAAATCTATGTGTAAAGCCCAATTTCAAATTTAAATGACTAGTAGGATATAAGAGGTCGTAGTATTTATATGTTTTTACATCATTGCCACCAAACTTCATATTTTATTTGTAATTTATTTCAAGCATTTCATTAACTGCCATAATTGTAATTAATATACTCCCTATTAATAGCATATCAATCACCCCATTTATTTTAGTTGTCATTCCCTCTCACATCTCGCCCCCTAAAATTACAAAAAAAATAAAAAAAATTCTGTAAATTACATATCCAATAATGTACCTATGAAAAATATAATATAAATATATACATATTATAGGTATATTATTTACCCCCAAAAAAAAAAACAAAGTCAGTTACTTTGTAATTGCGTAGATTTTTCATAATTAAAAATAGGTACACAATAATTTATATAAAATATAGGTACATTATTTACCCACAGGTAAATTATTTTACAATATTCCTGTAAATGTGTATAGGTACATTATTTGGAATAGATAATTATGTACACTTTTCATACTAGGTAAATTA